TATGATCAGTCCAGCACTCTGTGCCACACAGTGCCTTCGTCACTCTCACATCCTGTCTCTATCTTCTCCATACAATCACATAGTCTATTAGTTACCAATGTTTGCTGCAAGGGTTCATCCACAAAGTTTTATTGCGTTTAGGTAAATGGAAGACAGTGTTGGTGATGAGAAGGTCATGAGATCCACAAGTCTTCAGTACTAAGTGACCATTGCTGTGCTGTTTCCAACTCCATTCCTCCCTAAAACTCCTTGCCTGGTAGTCATTTGCCTGGTAGTATGAGCCTACTCTAGCATTAAAATCTCCCAGAATTATAAGCTTGTCCTCTTTTGGTACATTGATGATAAGGGTCTCCAAGTCTTCATAAAATTTTTCTTTAACTTCATGAGGGTTTGTTATGGTGGGAGCATAGGCACTGATGATGGTGGCAGTCACATTGTCATGAGCCTGTCATTCACTCCTTTTGATAGGCATACAAGCTTGTTGACTAACTTAATTTTAATTGCAAAATCTACACCAGCTTCATGGTGCTCCAGTTCACTGCGGCCACTCCAGAAAAATGTGTATCCAACTCCAGCTTCAGTAAGCTGGCCTTCATTTGCCAGCCTTGTTTCACTCAGGGTTGCTATTTGGGTACAATACCTGTTGAGTTCTCTTGCAACAAGAGCCTTTCATCTTTCAGGTCTACTGGATTTTGTGTTGTCTATAAGTGTGTGCACATTCCATGTGCCAATGGTGAGTGGAATCATCTTTGCAGTCATTTTTGTACACTTTTTTGTGTTTCAACCACAGAATGGGATTCCTCGCCTGCCGCAGTAATCAGGCCAGGGTTGGGTAAGCGGACAATTTTTAGCCCCTTTTTCACACCATTAATTGAGTAGTGCAATCCTTAAAAGGCTGCTCAGAGACCCAGGGAGCTGCTGAATCCCACTGCTGCTTCCAGTGAGAAATGTCCCTATGGCCTGAGTTGCCTGTGTGCAGGATTGTGATTACAGCTCCCAATGTATCTGTACCTGCTGTTTTGCCACTTGCCTGTCACCACAGGACTTTGAGATAGGTAAAATGGTATGGGTGATGTCTTTTTATTCGTGCATAAATTGGATTTAAGTGAGGCAGAGTTGCACAAAGTCTTCAGCTTCACTCTCTCCTCCAGAGTTATCACAGTCCAGTGGCAGGACAGAATCAAGATGACTGGTGATGGCTAGAGATGCAGTGGATGACCTTGGTGTCTCCGATGTCTAACCAAGCTCTAAGCGCTCCACAGCACCTGCTTCAGCTGCCTTCATGGCTGCTGGAAGAGTTTGTTCTCATCCACCCATTCCACCAGGGGAAGTCTTCACATGCTTGGGGTAGATACCCTCCCAACTCACCAGTGGATTTGAGATCCTTTGGTTACCCTCAACCTGATTTAGCCCATCTGCCAAAATGGTTTACCAGGGTGCAGCCACTGCACATGCTACAGCTTTTTGGAGCCACAGGTGAGAGTTAGGTGGAATAGGTGGATGCTAAGGGTGAAAAGTAGCCCTGAACAGGGTGTACAAAGGGAAGACTAGTACCTCTGGCAGAGATATATTCCTTGCTCTAAACTACAATTTCCAGTACATTCTTCTCCCAACATTTCTCAATGACATTCTCTCTTCTGAGGTCCATACAACTTACTTTTATTACTCTTTCCCCATTATGTAATCCTTCCAGTAACTTTTAGAAAGACTTTGACATCTGGATCATAGTTATCTTCTCCACCCCATCTCCTACCATCAATCTTGAGAGTATTGTTATTCATACTGACAATCCTCCTAACAATCTGTATTCTATACTTGTGTTCTAGCACATTTGGGTCAGTTCAGTATGTCAGCATCTCAATGTCCCATTGGAATGTCAAATTCATTATAGTCCAAACAAAATTGACCACACAATTTCTTGGCCTCCTTGAATCCTATAACTTTCTCCTGTACCTGCTATAGCCATACACCAAAATGGTAACATCTTAGAACTCTATCTCAGATTTGACCTACATGGCTGGGTGTGGTAGCCCACGCTTGTAATCCCTGCTCTTAGGGAGGCTGAGGCTGGTGAATTGCTTCAGCTTGAGAGTTCTGAGCTGCAGTGGGTTTAGCCAATCATGTGTCCCACACTAAGTCCCAAACCAATATGGTGAGCTATAGAGAGTAGGGGAGTGAGGCTGCCTATGGAGTGGCAAACTGGCCCAGGTCAGAAATGGAGCAAGTTGAAGATCTTATGCTGATTAGCGATGGGGTTAGTCCCATGAATGGTCATTGTACTTCCCATGTGCTTACAAACATGCTTCTTGTTGTTATTGTTCAGTCGTTTTAGTCATGTTTGACTTGTAGTGACCCAGTTTGGGGTTTTTTGGCAAAGATATAGGAGTGGTTTGCCATTTCATTTTCCAGATGAGGAAATGAAGGCAGAGTTAGGTGACTCATCCAGTGTCACACAGCTAGTGTCCGAGGCTAGATCTGAACTCAGGAAAATGAGGTCTTCCTGACTCCAGCCCCAGCATTGTATCCACAACAGACAACTCGCAAGTCCACATTTAGCTGCCAAGTGGCACAACGGATAGAGAATTTTACTGAGAGTCACAAAGTCCTTCATTCAAATATAAATATTGTATATTATGACATATCAACTTAGATTTATTATATAACATTAATATAAAATACATCTTATAATAGACATATGTCTATGTACATATACCTACGTACAGATATATACATACACATATACATATTTCTTTGATGGGATCCTTTTATTCTTTTTCTATACTTAGCACTTATGCCAAGTATGCACTATTGCAAAAGCTTTCTAGCTGGCCTCCCTATCTCTAGTCCATGCTAAACACACCTTATTATTAATCTTCCTATAACTTGGTCACTCCCCTGTTGCCTACTGATATCAAGGAGCCAAAACACCCCTAGAGGAGAAAGCCAGTAGAAGATGGACACCTGTATAATAGTAGTACAGTCCTCAACCTTCTTCTGTTCCACCTGTAGCCCGAAAACCTAGAGCTCAGAGCCCTGAGACTGTGCCCCTTCAGTCTAGGAGCTGAAGTGCAAACATGGTGAAGAGACCTCCTGGTGGCCCACATCAAAATGCCAATACTGTAGATCAAGGGTTCTTAACCTGAAGGCTGTGTATATATCTTTATCTCTCTCCATCTATAATATATATATATATATTTTATATATATATATATATATAAATATACTATATATACACACTATTTATATATACTACATGTACTATATATGCACACACTATATATACACTATATGTATGCATTATATATTTACACACACTATATAATATATACACATACATACACATATATACACCCACATATCACTTATATATGAAGATTAATAAATATAAAAAATTTAAGTATGTTTAAGATGGACTGGAGATAGACAGGCTTTTCCAGTAATCCAGGGATTAAGTGATCAGTGCATGTCTGGCCTAAGTGCTAGGTGTAGAAAGAGAAAACAAAAAGGGATGCCATGAAAGAACCTTTTTTAGAGGCAGCTGATAGCTCAATAGAATTCTGGGTCTAGAGTCAGGAAGACCTGAGTTCAAATCTGGCCTCAGATACTTACTTAGCCGTAGGGTCCTGGGTGAAAGACTTTTCCTCTTTTGCCCCAGTTTCCTCATCTATTAAATGGGAATGATAAGAGTCCCTACCTCCCAGGGTGGTTGTGAGGATCAAATGAGATAATATTTGTAAAGCATTTAGTATGGTGCCTGGCACATAGGAAGTTCTGTATAAATGTTAGTTGTTATTGTTACCTTCTGCTGACTAACTCAATATGATCTTAGGATACCAATGAGAGGAAAGGATTAATTATGGGCTGGTCTGCATGCGTATGGTCAGGGAACGCTGGATTTGGAATCAGAAGACCTAGGTTTGAATCTGGAGTCTTTAACTCATAATAAGGAGATCAGACTTGACCCCCAAAACCTCCTTCCAGCTTTAAATCCTATGATCTTATGAGCTCCAAATTTGTAAGCCATAGTGAACCATTAAAATGGAGACTAGTGAGCCAGGTAATGAAAGGCTGTAAATGCCAAATGGAGAAGTTTACCTGCATTCATGATACCAATCCCTTTCCACATTTGTATAGCATAAATCACTTTCCCATCCAGTATTTGATTTGGTCCTCAGAAACAGTCTGTGGGAGTAAGCAGAACAAAGATTATAATTCCCTTTTATATGTGAGAAAACAGGCTGACTCTGCCAGTTTCCATTAGCCAACCTTGCTCCGAGGAACATTTGACTTGATCCTTCAGGGGGTAGGAAGTGCTTAGCACAGTGCCTGGCACATTTGTTGTTTGGTCATTTTTCACTTGTGTCCAACTCTTTGTGACCCCTTTGGAGGTTTCCTTGGCAAAGATGCTGGAGTGGTTTGCCATTTCCTTCTCCAGTTCATTTTACAGATGAAGAAACTGAGATAAATAGGGTTAAGAGACTTGCCCAGGGTCACACAGCTAGTAAATGTCTGAGGCTGGATTTGAACTCAGGAAATTGAATCTTCTGACTTCAGTTCCTGTACTCTATCCACCATACCATGTAGCTGTGTAAGGAGAAAGAATACTAACTGGAGTCAGAGCACATGGATTCATATCCTGACAATGACACAGTTACTTATGTGAACCTGGACACATCATTTAGCTTCTTTGGGACACAATTTCCTCCTTTATAAAATTAGGAAATTGGGCTAGATGGTCTCTGACCTGTGATCATGTGTGTGTGTGTGTGTGTGTGTGTGTGTGTGTATACACTCATACACATCACTCATACATCCTCTCTGAATGAATTCGTTTTTACAGTGTCTGATGACTTCATGTGGACAGAATTACTACCTGGGATGGAGTCAGGACCTGTGCCCTTAGTGCTTCTGCAGGTCCTGGAAGCATGTCTCTATACCTGGGAGCTGAAGACACTAACACTTTGCTTACTCATTCTCTTCCTCTCCTTTTTTTCCCCCAGGGCTACTTTTCCTGGTTCATCAACATTATAATCATGAAGTAAGTGTTTCTGCACTCTGAGCTCTGGGTGAAGTCAGTGTGGCAGTGGGAGAAGAGGGGAGTGGGCAAGACTATGCTGGAGTCAGTTTGTGAGAGATAATTGTTAAATACATAGCATGAGTGCTTATCCTTTGGAAATTAGCCAACACTACTAATCAGGGCTTGATTTATTGTTTTGATGATTGTTTCAGCTTAAGAAAGTGATAGAGAAAATGTTAATAATGCAAATTAAGCTTGAAAGTGTATTATGGTGGCTAAACATTTCCCATCATACTCCTGGGAGTAGGAGAAGTGATTCAAAGCTCCTGACCTTGGATCAGCTATGTGGAGCTCCCTACTTGTAGCTTGTGTTTGGACCCTGCATTATTGCACCTTCTCTGCTTTGGGCATTACTGGGCAGGAAATAATTAGCTTATCTGCTCTGTCCTATTCTTCATTCAGCAGACCCTCAGAAATAACAACAGTTTCTTCTCCCATCCTATAGGCTGTTAGCCTTAGCCAGTTCTAATGCCGTCATCAAAAGGAATTTCACCTGTGTCCATTTCCTTCCAGTTCTCAAGACCTGGGGAAGGGAGTGATGGGAGAAGGAACATATGATACCTCTCTGATACCCTGTCTTCAAGCATTAGAAGGATTATCATTGTGGAAGAGGAAACAGGCTTGTTCTGTTGGTCCTAGAGAGCATAACTAGACCTAATGGATGGAAGTTGCAGAGAGACAGATTCTAACAATATGAGAAAAGGCCTCCTAACAGCTAGAGCTTCCTTGAGATCACAGGGTTCTCAGAGAGGATGATCACTTATTAGGAATGTTGTAGAAGTGATTTACAACTCAAATCCCACCTTCAATACTAGTGCCCTTCTTCTGCAGATTATCTCTCATTTATCCTCAATCTAGCTTGTTTGTGTAGTTATTTGCTTGTTACCTCCCCCATTGCACAGTGATCTTCTTGAAAGCAGGAACTATCCTTCGCCTTTCTTTGTATCCCCAGTGCTTAGAAACAGCAGGTAATTAAGAATCATTTATTGGCTGACCAATTCATTCTCTGCTAGATGGGTTGCACTAGATACCCTCAGATGCCTCTTCCAGCTCTGTGATTCTTCATGTCCTTGACCCTCCTAAAACCCCAGAGAGAGAACTTCTGAATTTTCCCCAATTTTCACCATCCTAACTTTTCATTATTCTCAACTCCAGCCAAACAGAGCCAGGCACTACCATCTATACTTGCCAAAGCACTCATGTATACATACATGCATACATCATAGTACGTTGGAAGAAACACTAGAATGGGAGCCCAGAGACGTGGGTTTTTATATCTGCTTCTGTGACACCTTGGACAAATCACTTAACCTCTCTGGGCCTCATTTTTCTCATCCATAAAATAGACTGGATTTCTGAGATTCCTTTCCAGCTCTGAAATTCTATGATTTTATAAGGTCTTGGTCTTCGTACATGTGTACCACCTTCTTGGACTGTCTCCTATCAATCAATCAATCTGTGTTCTTCTTCTCCTTCAAACTCAACTCAAAACATTCTTTCTCCGAAGTGTCCTCTAAATGACCTCCATCTACCAAACTCTTTTTTGTGTCAGGCTTCCACAAGAAACACACTGAGCAAATAACTGTACAAACAAGCTAGATTGAGGATAAATGAGAGATATTTTTCTTTACAGCTTCTCTTAGAGTATTTTTCATTAGGGTTCACCTAGACATCAGATTGTCAATACCTCAGGGACAGAGGCTATGTCTTCTCTTTCTTCTATATAGCCTTGCAGTGAGCATTTCCCAATTACCGGATGGCTGACATCTGCCCCTGCCAGAAAGCTTCCCTTAAAACATGATTTCCTTGCTATCTGGACTGTTGAGATAAGGATGTGGGGTTCAGAGCCAGAGCCGTCTTCATGTTTTCCTCCCTTGATTCCAAAGATACTCTCTTTGCTATGGGCATTTGTGTTTGTCTACCTTTAAAGAATGGCTTGGGATCACACTGAAACGTGAAAATAGTAGTTTTAGGACAAATAAAAGTAAGTATTATTAGGAATGACCATAAGGTGATGGGAATATAATGGATGTTGCTTTAGGACATTAAATCTCCTTGCCTTATGTCATAGAATATCCTCCTTTATGTAATATGTTGTAAACATATGGTGCCAGTTTACCATGAGAAGTGAACAGCCTGCAAACAGTTCCAGGATTTTGTGGTTGATAGACAATGAGTGACCAATATAACATGAATAAAAGTGAAGACTTGGATTAAAGTGCTGGTAGCATGCACTTAATAAATGGTAATATTGATCAAACCCACATCCAGCATGAGAGGTCAACGAAACCCTGTTGAGGTCTAGGGCTGGCTTTCTGCTTAGGGAGCTCCCAAATGCTATACCTAAGCAGATCACTACAGCCTTATGCCTATTTTGGGTGTCACTATCTTCCTTGGGTCTTTGCCCTCCAAGCTCTTGGTCTGTTAAGGCTGTCTTGATAAATAAATGATGACCCATATATAACTGATGATTCTACTACCACTATCCTAATGGAACTGTCCTCTCTTGAAGATTACCAATGACATTCTAATGACCAAATCCTGTGGTCTCTTCTCAGTCCCCATCTTCAACTTTTCTATGGCATTGAACACTGATACTTGCATGATGTTGGTTTTCATGGAAACATTCTTATCTCTTCTTCCAGTTCCCCTGTGGCTTATAATAAATAGGGTTAAATAAACTGTAATGTTCTTGGAAATCCTTGGTATTTTGGGACTCAGGTACCATGATGTTGCCCACTCCCTCCTTTTTGATACCATTTCCATTCATTAAGTGCTTACTATGTGTGAAGTCCTGTGAATGGTAACCTCCTTAGACTTTTTTTAAGTTCTTTTTTTATAATGAACTTAATAAACATGAATATTTTTCCATATTCCCTCCATACACGAAGCAGAACAAAAAATCAGATTGCATATGAAATCGTTTCTATTAAATTTAACATGATAACACTAACACTGCTCTGCTTATCTGTATCACCATCATCTGCACATTTTCAGTTTCATTGATGTTTTTCTTGTCTTTTTTTATCACAATCACTCCCCTACACACATCTCCCACCCCTCCCCCAATTAAACCCCATTCTTCTGACAAATAAGAATAATCAAACACAACAAGATTCACACATTGGCTGTGTCTGAAAATTTATGTCTCAGTTTATATCTCTCTCCCAGGAGGTGGTTAACATGTTTCATTATCTGTCTTCTGGAGTCACAATTTTGGTCATTGCCTACATCAAAGTTCTTATGTCTTTCAAAGTTGTTTTCATTTACTTTACTATAGTCATTGTATAACTCATCCTTTTGGTTCTGCTCACTTTACAGTGGTACAAATAAATCCTCCCGGGTTTCTCTGACTGCATCTCTTTCATCATTTCTTATAATGTAATACTATTCCATTGCATTAATATACAGTAATTTGCTCAGCCATTCCATGATTGATGGTTACCCAAATTGTTTGTATTAAGCTACAGCAAAAAGTGCTACTATACATTTTTGTCCATGTGTGTCCTTTCTGCATTCTCCTTTTTTTCTTCCTATATATCTGCTTGCCCCTTCTCAGTCTTCTCTTTCCCTTTTCATAGGATCAGCATAAGCTTTGCCCAAAACTTTGTTCTTGGCCCTCTCTTCCTTCCTATTTGCAATCTCATCATCTCTGTTTCCTCCCCATTGCTATAACCCAAGGTCAGCTACTCATTAGCTAATTTTCTTATATATTATTGTAGTAACCCTCCCACCTCCAATTTCTTCTTCCTCTAGTTCTTCCTATCCACTATTGTTAGGTCAGTCTTGGTGCTCAGCTCTGATCAAATCACTGCACCACTCAGAAGCCTTAGTGTTTTATTACCTACCAATATCTGCAATTTCACATATGCACTCTCCCTCCACTAATAATACACAACCCATCTAAAAGTAGTAGACAGTCTTTGAGAGTTACTATGGTCAAAAGATCCATTACCTTGTGGCCATCCTGCTTCTGAACATCTTGGAACTTAACTAGGCTGGTCCTTAGGCAACAGATGATCAATGACCCATCTTAAACTTACAGCCTCAGAGTGCCCACAGTCACTTACCTTGCCACCAAAAAAGCATCAGAATAGTAGTTTAGTGGAAGGTTGCTTTTCCAATAAAGTACGGGCTCTTTAGCCTGGAAATAAAGACCTTCTATAGCATAATTCAAGACTATCTTTCCATCACTGCTTCCCTAAATAAGAATTATGTTCTAGCCAAATTGAATTCCAAACTCTAAAGCTTCTTGACTCTCTGCTTTTTATTCCCTATCTCCCATCTGACTACTAAAATTCTACCTATCTTTCAAAGACCTAGCTGACGTGGTACCTACTCCATAATCAAACAGACATGAGCTTTTCTTCTTAAGTACTCTCTTAGGACTTTATCTTTCTTGTGCACTGTTGCTGTGCAGTCATTTCATGGTGTCCAACTCTTTGTGACCCCATTCGGGGTTTTCTCGGTAAAGTTATTGGAGTGGTTTGCCATCTCCTTCTTGAGATCATTTTACAGATGAAGAAACTAAGGCAAACAGTGTTAAATGACTTGCCCAAGATCACACAGCTACCCTATGTCAGGCCAGATTTTAATTGATGAAGATGAGTCTTCCTGATTCTAGGCCTGGCACTCTATCCACTGTGCCATCTAGCTGCCCCTCTTCTGCCCTGTATCACATTTTAATTAATATTTTAATTATTTGCATATGTCTTGTCTCTACTATAAGTCCATTTTTGAGAACAAGGTTCATATCTAATTTTTAAAATATCTTACTCTATAAGATAATATTTTTAAAGTGCTTAGCACAGAGCCTGGCACATAGTAGGTGCTTAATGTTTGTTTCCTTAGTGCTTATCATATCACAAGAGCTAAATAAATGCTTATTGAATTGAAATTAGGTCAGGAATACATGCTGAGACTACCTCAGTGTCATGGAAGAAAAGTTCTATACTCTTCCCCTGTGCCATTTCTTGGTACATGAGGCAGAATCCAGCACCCAAAAATTGGGCCCAACCCAGTATAGCACATAGATGGTTTCCATCGTATCTCAGCTAAAGTCCCACTGTCTGCAAGAAGTGTTTCTGAGTCTTCCTTGACCTTGGTGCCTTCCCTCTGAGACTCCCCCCAATTTGTCCTGTGTATATTTTGTTTGTACATTGTCACCCCCAGTAAAGAGAAAATTCCTTAGAGATCCGGGACTGATTTTTACCACTTTTGAATTTCTTTGTATTCCCAACAGACCGGAATAGGCTCTTAATAAAGACTACATGACAGACCCAACTGACTCATCTTCTCTCCACCCAAATCCATACTCAGCCTACCAGACAGAAGTATCTCCAGGAAACTGCCCTCACTGGGTTGGGGATAGGAGTCATATTCCCATTGTCAACAGAACTATATCCCTGCTGCTATTCATTCCATCCCAACACTTCCCCCTCTCTTCAGTAATAAGGTTCTCCATTCATAGAATCACAGTGCCCAAGAATTCCATTTAATCCCTGCTTAAACACCTGTAGCAAGAAAGGGAACTCATTATTTCATGGGGCAGCCTATTTTGTTTTAGGATAACACCAGTTGTTAAACATTCTTAGCTTGATGGAATTTTTTTCTTTTTTTGGTCTTTGCATACCCATTGCCTAGCACAGTGCCTGGCGTATAGGAACTGCTTAATAAATGTGTATTGGATTGAATTTAATTGAAATCTGCCTTCTTGTGACTGCCACCCTTTTCATGGTAGATCTCCCTTCTAAGGCCCAGCAGTGTTTTTTAAACCAGCCCCAGAGGATTTAAAAATGCTTTTCAGTGACCTACTGATTGGTCAAGATAAATCACTCCTTTCCTTTGCACTTAACTTTTGGCCATTCCAGTTTCTGAGAAGTGTCCTTTTATGTCTCTTCTAGGAAAGAGGAGCTGACTAAAAAGTGTGGAGATGATGCCAAAATATACCTCAATTTCCAGACACACCTCATTTTTCTATTCCTGTTTCTTTGTGTGCCCTCCTTGACTGTCATCCTGCCACTCAATCACTCTGGGCGTCTTCTAGGTAAGGGGATTTCAGAAGCCAACATTTCACTAAATCCACAGTGCCTCCAGAGGTTGGGGGCAAAAAACAGCTCCCTCCAATCATCAGAGAGGGCTTGAATGAGGGTCCTCTTTTATGGCAGTGTGGTGTGGTAAGGAGAACACTGAGCTAGAAGTCAAGAGGCATGGCTTCTTATGCTATCTCTGCTATTAGTTTACTGTCTGATATTGGACAAGTCACTTTAAACTCTTGGTCACCTCAGTTTCTCCATCAGTATCATGGGGATAACTGCCACTTCTTATTTCACAGGGTGATAAAAATGAAACTGCCTCCACTTTGGAGGTGTAAATGGAAGCAACTTTGAAAGTAAAAGTGCTGCATGAATGGAAAGTGTATTTTATTTTTATGACCTCTATGAATCTGGTGTTAACCCAATATAAAAGCATAGGTACTATTAGCTAAGTACAATTAATAATAATGTTGTTGAGATAGAAAATACACATTAGGATAACATAGGATAAGTCCTTGTTTCCATAATGTTTAGCTGATATGTGTGCAACAGTTGCCAAGAAAATAACCAGTTTTTCCTCAGTTTCCACACTTGAAAATACACACTGCCAACATAGGACAAATCCCCTTTCTATAATCTGTCCAACTGATATGTGTGAAACCCTAACAGTTGCCAAGAAAATAACAAGTTTTTCCTCAGTTTCCACTGTTTTTTTTGAGACCAGGTGTCTCTATCTTGCCCAGGCTAGAAATGTAATGGGGCTTTTCACAAGCACCCTATCTCACTACCGACCTGTTTTGTCTAATGGAAGCTTTAATCTGTTTCATTTCTGAGCTGAGCCAATTTGTCTTTCCTTAGGCAGCCTAGTAGTACCCTACCTCCACCTCCTGGAGGCTCGCCATATTGGTGCTGGACTTTTCACTTGATTGACCTTAGCCCTACTGAACCTCAGAACTCTTGAGCTCACCAAACGCAGCATCCTCAGTAGCAGGGATTATAGGTATGCATGACCATGCATGGCAGTTTCCACACACTTCAACATTGCTCCTCTGCCAGTTAAATATTTATTTTTCCTGAAGTTTTACAATCTTCCTATCCATTGAACACTTACATCAGTAAGTCCCACTGTTGTTGCCAACTTTTTTTTCAAATAGTTATTTTTTTTCAAACCTGGGATTTCATTTATAATGCAAACTGTCAGAATGGAAACTTCCTTCATCAATCCAGAGCAGCAATTTGTCTGTAACTCATAGTCTTCGAAGGCTTCCTGGGGCAGTGAAAGGCTAATAGACATGCCCATGGTTGGAGTCGCACAGCCAGTGTGTATTAGAGAAAGGAGTTGAACTCAGCTCTTCCTGATGCTAGGGCCAACCCACTCTCTAGTACACAAGGCCACAGTGGCCCTCTAGATCCTCAAATCTGGCCGTTTGACTGAGTTTGAACTTCACAGAACAAACCTCCTTAATAAAAGGGTGTGTTCCATAAAACTTGGGCTCAGTCAAAAGGCCCTATTTAAAGACCGAGAAGGTCACATGTGGCTCAAGGCTGAAGGTTCCCCACCCCTGCACTACACCACACTGCCTTTTATATATAATCTTAAAATAATTTCATACAAATGTAAACAATAGAAAATAATAATTAAAAAAACAGGGAATACTAATAACAAAATAAACTTGATTAGCAGGGCCCGTTCCACTATAGCAAGCTTATAACAAATTATCTGAATTTTTAAAGTATTTTGTGTTATTAATTACTGTGCTTTGTTAGTGTTTTATATTATTAGTGTTATTATTAGACTGTTAAGTTGAGGAAGCACACCTTGTAAGAGTGTGAGGCTAGAAAGATCCATTAGCAGTTCCAGAGATTAAAAGAGTCCAATGAAAAAGAGCACTGGGTTTGGCTCCCAAGGATCTGGGCTCAAATCTTGACTCTGCTTCTTACTAGCTAAGAAATCTTGGGGAAGCCCCTTTCCCTCTGTGGATCTTCATTTCCTCATCTGTAAAATGAGAGTGTGAGACTATTTGAGTGGTGTCAAACTCAAATAGAAACAGATCCCCCTAGGCCTCATATTGACTGCAAATTAACCACAACTTAACATCATCCATCTTATGTTCCCAATTCCATTTTAAACTTACTCAGCTGCACTGGGGAGTTTTGTAGCTCTGCTCCCTTTTTCTCTCTACGACCATATGAGAAAAGGACCCGTCACTGTGCCAGCAAATCTGGACCTAGCTCATAGACCCTGAGAAAGAATAGTAGGACTGTGGGAGGTAATCCAAAAAGGTCTAGACATTCAGCTAGGATGTATGAATTTCTAGAGGCAAAGCTACTAATAAACGTTCTTCTTTTTCAGACTCTAATAGTCATTTCGGCCGTACCACCATTGCCAATGTCGGCAAAAAGTAGGTGCCATTGTCTTCTTAACCTCCTTTCTGTCTTACCTGGAGAGGGGATAGTCTGGGAAACAGATCAGTTGCATTGGTCTCCAACTTGTGCATCAGTTATTCTGTATTGAGAAAAGTCTATTTTCCCCTAGATCTAGTTCCTAAGCTCTAAATGAATGAAGACATATACACTGGGTGTAGTTTCATGTACAGGGTTGGAAGTTAGGATGTCACTGATTTACTAAAGCTAGTATTATTTGACTTTTCTGTCTTAAGTCTTCCTAGCAATATGATAGATAAAAAAGCTGACAAGATGGGTAACAAAATCAGGATCCAGAGAGATCTAGACAGGCTAGAATGACGGGCCAAAACTCAAGGTGAAATTTAATGAGGATAAATATGAAATCTTTGGGTTCAAACACCAAGTTAATAGGTTCTTAGGCAACATTACCGAAAGTGTAGTGTTCAAAATCAGAAAGGTGTTAGTCCTGATATATTCTGCCCTTGTCAGACCACATTTAGAATATTGCATTTACTTCTGGAAAGCATGTTTTAAGAGGGATTTTGTTAAAGCTGGAGTGGGTCCAGAAGAAGGCCATGATAATAAGAGGATTGGAGATCAATTGTAAGAAACTATATGCCCTGCTTAGCTACCATCCTGCCAGTCAAGTACTATGAGAATCTTCTGGGCAAGAAGCCCAAGAAGGACTAGTGGATTTCAAGAATGAAGGAAAGAACATGTTAATGGGGGGAGGGGGGAGGAGAGAAGAAAGGTATGAAGGAAACCAGAGGAGACAGCTATCTTCAAATATTTAAAAGGTTGTTATGGTGATGAAGGAATCAGATTTATTTTCATGACTTCAGAAGGCAAAACTGAGACCAATAGGTAGAAATTATAGTCAGATTTTAGTCAATATTATTTTTTTAACATTTCTGACCATTAAAGTTGTCATAAAATGGAATAGATATTCTGAATGAACACCTGGAGGTATTCAAGAAGAAGCTGACTAAGAATTTGTTGGGCATATTTTAGAGGGGAATCATTCTCTGCGTAGAGGTTAAACAAAATGTACTTTTGTACCGTGGGATACTGTGAATCTACAAACTGCTGTCAGCTTCTCCTGGTGACTTACACGAATGATTATAGTTCTGGTAGCCAAGTATTTCTAGTTCTTCAGTAGGAACCCTGCATTATAATTTAAGTCAGCTAGTGGATAATGCCATAGACTTGAAGTTCAGAAGACCCGAATTTGAATCCTGCCTCTGACATTTACTAGTTGTATGACTCTGCACAAGTTAATTGATTTTACTCAGCCTCAGTTCTCTTCTCTATAAAATAGAGACGATAATGGTACTTACCTAACAGGATTGTTTTGGGGATCAAATGAGTTAATGTAAAATGCTATATAAATAATACCTATTATTATGAGTAGAGGTCCTGGCTATTATTTACCCTACCTATAAATAGGTTCATTTCAACCTTCAAATTTTATATGGAATTAAGTTCTAAATAATCCTCTTCTCTTTCACTCTCAAAAGAAATTCAAATGCTGGATCAAAACCAGATAGCACAACATGGTAAAACTATAAAGTTAGGTACTAGGATTGTAGAAAATGAACTAGTTTATATAACTTAGTTGTGATTGGCTTCCTTACATTTGTATCCAAAGCTCTTGACAGCGACACCTTGTGGCAGAGGTTACAAGAGTAAGTGTAATCTTACAAATATTTATTCCACTTCTCCTTACTACAGGTGTTCCTTTTATCTGGGCACAATTGGTCCTAGGCAGGATTACCAAATAGACAAAAAGTGTCGGTAATGCTATCTCACCCCTTTCTTCCTGCTGGATATGTGTCTTAGACAGTTCTTGCTTAAATATCTCTCAGATAACCACTTTAAGGTATTACCTATCCAGTGGGATTTTTATTTTAATATTTTAATAATGCTTCTTTAAGGACAGCTAGGTGGCACAGTGGATAGAGTGCTGGGCCTGGAATCAAGAAGACTCATCTTCCTGGGTTCAAATCTACCCTCAGATACTTACTAGTTGTGTGACCCTGGGGCAAGTCACTTAACCTCTATTTGCCTCAGTTTTTTCTTCTGTAAAATGTGAATAATAATAGTACCCAACTCCCACAGTAGTCCCCACTTTTTCCAGATTGAAGAGAAGGGTGGGATTTAAATACAGTGGAAGTCCAATTCTGAGCTCTCTTTCTTCCGTATGCCTCCCCCTCTACCAGCATGGAAACAGTATCAGATTAGTAGACTCTAACCCCAGACTTTCCACCCAATGACCTGTCATTATGGAAATTTGGCCAGTCAGGCTGCAGCACCTTAAACCTAGAGATAGACTGGCATAGCCTTAGCATTCAGAGTAAAAGTTTCTGCATTGTCAACCAAGTAGGATCATAATTGCTAGAATATTTCAAGTGTTTGATTTAGGAAGAAAACATGACCCAGCAGCTAGATCTCTGTATATAGAGTTGAGTATGTGATCTTGAGCTAATTGTGACTACTTCTTGTTCCTGACAGTGACAAGATCCTGTGGGTACATAGTATATTCTCCGTTTTCTACTTCCTTGTCACCTTCTGCTTCATGGTCCACCATGGCCGAGAAATTAGCCCCAAGAAGGAAACAAAGGTAAGGAGAAGGAAAACATACCTGATATTGAATGAAATCCTCCCCGTCCTTTAAAGTCCAATTCAAATGCCTCCTTCATGAAGCTTTCTTTGATCCCATGATAACCTTTTTGCCTTCAGTTCTGTACTTCTCTTATATTTTCCCTAGTTTATGTATTTTTCTTTGTTTCAGAAGTGTAAAAATAATACATAATAAAATGTATTTTTCTTTATATATGTCTTATCTCTGGAGTACCTGCTCCAAAGGGCACTCCAAGAGATGGCCTTATCTAAAAAGGACTCTAAGCTATCTCAGAGTTTGAGTCTCACATCTGGGAGCATTGTGGGAAGGGCACTGAATTTCAGAGACCCTGAATTCAAATACTACCTATCTCTTCCACTTACTACTTGCGACTCTGGGCAAGTCAATTTCCCTCTCTGAGCCTCAATTTCATCATGTATAAAATGAAGGGATTGTAGTAGATGGCCTAGAAGGTCCCTTCCAGTTCTACATCAATGAGTTTCAGAAGCTGACTGCTGACACCACAATTGAGACATCCCTTGGCCTTGCCTTAACCTCCAACATCTTTGGATGAGGTCCCAGAAGAGGTATAAGGTGTCAGGTCAGCCTAGCCCTCAAAGACTTAATCACCTTCTTATTCTTCCTCCTCCACTGGGGTCACAGAAGAGATTCTGGCCCTTTGGGAGTCAGAGATAGTGAAGATAATCACCATGTCTATGCTTGCTTTTCACAGATACCTAATGTATAGGGGTCCCCTATAGAGTGGGGCTATGTTAAGTGAAGTCAGCAAGCATTTACTTAAGTACCAAAGTTGATGAGATTAAGTGAAGACCAGTTACAAAATGGAGATGATTTGGTATTTGAATCAAAAGAATCAATCAGATTTCATCTCATGAACACTGACTCCATCTTGTGCTGCCACATGTATTCTCTATCTTGCTGTTTTTCTGTTAGTCATCCATGGGAAACTAGATGGTACAAGCCATCTATTGTTTCATAACAATATGGCACACAAATTCCCAGTTCTCAGTACCCTTATCTCAATAATCTAGAATCTAAAATCCTACCCCCAGGGGTAGCTAGGTGGTGCAGTGGATAGAGCACCAGCCCTGAAGTCAAGAGGACCTGAGTTCAAATCCAAAACTCAGACACATAACACTTAACATTAGCTGTGTGACCCTGGGCAAGTCATTTAGCTCCAATTGCCTAAAAATAAAAATAAAATAAAATCCTACCCCCAGCCTCTAATTTTATCTCTATAGATATTCTTGGCCCTTCCTTCTCCATAGGCCATGACCTCATTGCATCCTCTGGAATCCTGGCTGTATAGGTTCACAAAATCCCCTTTATCTTGGATCAAAAGATAGTCACCTTTCCATCCTCTTAGGCTGGCTGTCCCCAGAAGGTGCTATATCCCTTGGCCACCCTCTCCAGAACAAGGTCACCTTTCTCACGTCCTCTGAAATAGAGCAGGAAGAAGAGTTGTTATAGCCCTCTCTCCTCACTGCAACTTTCAGGTATCCTTTTAACATCCCTAGTCAGCAATCTCTCTTCCTTTCCTCACTGCAACTTTCAGGTATTCTTTTAACATCCCTAGTCAGCAATCTCTCTTCCTTTGAGATTCAACCCATCCCTCCTGAAATGTCTTACCTGCTTCAACTCCTTGTAGCAATCTACTGACATCCAGATGATTCTTCCTCCCCATCCTGTCTTCTTTCTTGGAGATTTCAACATATTTCTTTTCTTTATTCTACAGTCACCTCCTAGAAAGAGTTAGTTGTTCTCATTGCCTTCATTTCCTCACCTTCCACTCAATTCTCCATCCCTTACAATATGGCTTTTGACTCCACCTCTTGACTAAAACTGAAACAAGGTTACCTATTGATCTTTTCACTGTTCAATCCAATGGCCTTTTCTCAGTACTCATCCTTCTTGACTTATCTGAAATATATAACAATGACTCTCAGCCTCTTCTCTTACAGACTTTCTCTTTCCTTGCTTTCTGGGCCACTTATCTTTCTATTTTCTTTTTATCAATTTGATTCTTTTCTTTTACTAAGTCATTCTCATAAAGCTGTGTCTTGGGCCCTGTTCTCTCTCAACATTTCTCTTTTGCCAATCTCTTCATGTCCCATGGTGTTCAATGAACATTTCTATGAAAACCACAGAAATTACAACAAAGTGGCACAGTGGATAGAGCACTGGGTCTGGAGTTAGGAAAACCTGAAGTCAAGTCTGACCTCAGATACTTAACTATCTGTGTGACCCAGAGCAAGTCCCTTTGACCTCTCTCTGCTTCAGTTTCTTCAGCTGTAAAAATAAGGACAATGACAGCACCTACCTCCGAGACTTCTGAGGATCAAAATTTTTTTGTTGTTTTTAAGTCATTTTAGTTGTGTCTGACTCTTCCTGACTCCAATTGGGGTTTTCTTCGCAAAAAAACTGCAATGATTTGCCATTTCCTTCTGCAGCTAATTTTATAGATGAGGAACTAAGGCAAACAGGGTTAAATGACTTACTCAGGGTCACACAGCTAGTAAGTGTCTGAGGCTGGATTTGAACCCAGGAAAATGATTCTTCCTGACTCTAAGCTCTGCACTCTATCCAATGTCCCCCCTAGCTGCCCCATCTAACATATATTAGGCACTTAATAAATCCACCCCACCCCTGAAATCAGGCCATTTTCACAGAATATCCTCCATGCCTGGAACTTTCTCTCTCCTCTCATCTCCATTTCCTGGCTTTCTAAGCTTCCTTCAGATCTCAGCTAAAATCTCACAGAAGATTCTAGACTTGACTCCTAGCTGGCTCGCCAAAAAAGAAAGATGAGATGACTGAAGAAACAAAGGTTTAAGCTTCCAAGCATATCAATTTCATAAGCTATGCATGCCAATTGCATAACAAATTGGGACTAGTTGCCTTCCCCAGCTTTGGCATTGGACCCCAAATGCAGACGGAGACAGATTTTTATACATTAAAAAAATTAATCAAATAGGACCAATTAATTATAAGAAAAACAATTAACCAGGATACAAAATTAGGTAATCTAATTTCTAATTGGAGAAAAGATTAAGGATTTTACAAGTTGGGAGGGGGAAAGAGTGAGTTTCAGTCGAGTTAGGAGAGGAATGAGTAGTTTTATCTCTCATATGAATAGAAGAGCTTCTGTTCACAGAATGGAAAGATGTTGATTAATTACATTCATCCGCATTTACGAAACAATAGATGGCTTATACCATCTAGTTTCTCATGGATGAATAACAGAAAAACAACAATATGGAGGAGAATACATGTGGTAGCACGAGATGGAGTCAGTATTCATGAGATGAATCCAGTTGGTTCTTTTGATTCCCACACATATCTTCCTGAGTTCAAATCTGCCCTCAGACAACTTACTAGCTGTGTGTGACCCTGGGCAAGTCACTTAACCCTGTTTGCCCCAGTTTCCTTATCTGTAAAACAAACTGGGGAAGGAAATGACAAGCCACTCTAATATCTTTGCCAAGAAAACCCCAAATGGGGTCATGAAGAATCAAACACTACTGAAACAACTCAACAAACAAAAGACAGTGCCTAATAGCTCACATTTATATGGCCCTTTATGACCAAAAAATACTCCATTTCATTTGATTCTCACAGTAAACCTGTGAGGTAAGTCATTAAGAGTACTATCCTTATTTTATGGATGCGGAAACCGAGTCTGAGACCTGGAATTATTTGCTTATGATCATACAGCTATTAAATGGTATAGTTGGAACTTACATGATGTCTCATGATTCTAAATCCAATGCTTTTTCCACAAATCCACATTTCTACTCTGTACTACGGAAGTTTAAAAAGATTTCAGAAGCCATTTGATCCAATTCATATTTGAAAAGAGATCTGACTACATTATACCTAAAAATGGGCACCTAGACTTTAAAAAAAAAAACAAACTTCCAAGTAAAGGGAAATACATTATCTCCTGACTCCACCCATTCTGTTTTGGGATAACTCTTATTTTTATGAAACATTTCTTTATAGCAAACCAAAATTTGCCTCTTCGTAACTTCTTCCATCTATTGGTCCTTTTTGTATCCCTTAAATATAACTGCCCTTCCAATGTCTGAAAAGAGCCATGTCTCCCAAAGTCTACTTTCCATGGAGCAGCTGGGTGGCACAGTGGATAGAGCACCAGCCCTGAAGTCAGGAGGACCTGAGTTCAAATCCGGCCTCAGAGCAAACATTTGACACTTACTAGCTATGTGACCTTGGGCAAGTCACTTAACCCCAATTGCCTCAAATGAATAAATATCCCAAAGTCTATTTTCCTCAAGGCTAAGCATCTCCACTTTCTTCACCCTAGTCTCATAAAGAATGAACTTGAGCTCTTCATTATCCAGGTAGCCACCTGTGGACTCTCTCTGGTTTATCCATGTAGGTCCTGAAATAATAGCACTCAAAATTAAGCACAGTACTGAGGATGTGACCTGACCTGGGCAAAGTATGGCAAGACTCTCAGTTTCTAATTCCTGAATGCTGTGCATCCTTCATGCTGCCTAAGATTGTCTTATCTTTCTTGGCTGTTACGTAACATCACTGACTCAGACTGAGCTTTTGATTCACTGAATTCCCCAGATCCTTTCCAGACAAAGAGCTGATAAAATCCTGGGTGAAATAAAATATATCTATGGTATTTATTCCAGAAAAGGGACATAACTTTAGCTCTGTTCTTTATGGTGCGGTACTCACTCTTTGTAATCATTGCTTCCTTTTCTAGATTTCCACTAACAATCTCTTTCATAACATGTTCTAAAATTTTGCTAAGAATCGAAGTCAAACTCACCAGCCTACTATTCATAGATCCCATACTCTTTCTCCAATCCTGTGGGACCTCTCTCTTCATGATTTTTCAAAGACTACTAATAATTACTTCTCAGAAGTCACATCTGCCCATATTTTCACTAACCTAGAATGTAGTTCATCTGGGCTGGTTGTCTTGAACTCATTGGCAGCATTGAGGGTGTTCTAACTTAATTATCTAGGGTGTTGACTCTCAATTAGCCTTTTTTTTTTAGGCAATTGGGGTTGAGTGACTTGCCCAGGGTCACACAGCTAGTAAGTGTCAGGTGTTTTTTCTGAGGCCAGAAACAGGTCCTCCTGACTTCAGGACTGGTGCTCTATCCACTGCACCACCTAGCTGCCTCTTCAATTAGCCATTTTTATTCTATCCTTTCTAGTCCAATGATCACTCTCATTGTCAAAGAAAACAAAAGGGAAATAGGAATTGAGAAGCTTTGCTTTCTGTTTTCCATTATCACAGTCACATTCACCCCCACCACCTTCTTTCCCTTTTTGACCCTCTTCTTTTCTGCAATATAGCTTTTAAAAAGCTCTTTTTTATTATCTTTATTTTTATCTTTTTAAATTTATTTTTATCTTTTATTATATTATCTTTACTTTCCTCACTGGCATCAGCTCATTCTGACTTTCCCTGAGACACTTTGAACTATGCCTCATTTTTGTATTCATCTCCTCTTAAGTAATGAAATCAGTAAGATTAAAGGGAGAAAAAAGACAAGCCCCCAGGAGAAAGTCTTTAGATACATTCACAATTAGGGAACGGGACATAAATAATGAGCCAGCAAAGGAGACTGAGAAGGAGGAGTCATACAGGTAGGAAGAGAGAATAGTGTCCCAAAAATCTAGAGGGAAGAAAGATCCAAGAAAGAGAAAGTGGTCAACAGTGTTGAATGATGCAGAAGCTAAGAACAATGAAGACTAAGGAGGAGACACTAAATATAGCAATTAAAAAATCATTGATAACTTTAGAGGAAAGTTTCAATTCAATAATGAGATTGCAGGCCAGATTTCAGATTGCAAAAAGGATTGACAAGTGAATGAGATAATTAGTATAGACGTTTCTCTAGGAATTTGGCTATAAAGGGAAAAAAAGATGTAGCTTGAGAAGGTAAGGGCAAGTGAGAATTTTTTTTTAGAATGGGGAGACATAGACAGGTTTGTAGGCAGCAGGCAAAGAGCTGATATATAAGGAGAGACTGAACATTAGAGAGAGAGGGAATGACTGTTACAGTAATTTCCTGGAGGAGATGGAAGATAATGAAATAAAGAATACAAGCAGACAACACTCTTGATCAATTAATCAATAATTAGTCAATCAACAAATATGTATTAAGTGCCTACTATGTGCCAGGCACTATGCTAAGTGTTGGGAGTATACAAAGAGGGGGCAAAAGACAGTTCCTGATCTCAAGGAGCTCACAATCTAATGGAGGAGACAACAAGCAAACAAATATATACAAACAAATTATATACAGGATAATTAGGAAATAATTAAGGGAGAGAAGGTACTAGATTTGAGAGGGGTTTGGAAAGCCTTCCTATAGAATATGGGATTTTAGTTAAGACTTAAAAGAAGGCAGGGAAGTGAATAGGTGGAAATGAGGAGAGCATTCCAGGCATGAGGGATACCTGGAGAAAAATGGCTAAAGCTGAGAGATGAAGTATCTCGTTCATCAGACAACAAGAAGGCCATTGTCATTGGACTGAGGAGTACAAGGTATAAAAAGACTAGAAAGGTAAGGAGGGGATGCTAGGTTATGAAGGGCTTTGAATGCCAAATAAAGCATTTTTTACTTGATCCAAGAGGTAATAGGGAGTAACTGGAGTTTATTGAGTAGGCATGACACAGTTAGACCTACACTTTAGAAAAATCTCTTTGGTGGCTACACGGAGGACGGGTTGGAGAGGATAAAGACAAGGCAGGTAGACCCACCAACAGGCATGAGGGGATGAGGGCCATATCAGATGAGAGAAGGGAGCATATTCAAGAGATGCCACAAAGGTGAAATCAACAGGCTGTGTCAACAGGTTGAGTATGGAGGTGAGAGAGTGAGGAGTCTGGGTTGACACCTAGATTGAAAGCCTGAGGGACTAAGGGGATGGTGTTGCCCTCTACAGTTATAGAGAGAGAAGGTAGGAAGTGGGGAGGGTTTAGGGCAAAAGAGAGTGAGTTTCATTTTGGGCATGTTGAATTTAAGATGTCTACTGGACATATATATAGTTCAAGATGTTCAGAAAGGCAGTTGGAGATGCGAGATTAAAGGTCAGCAGAGAGGTTAGGGCAGGATAGGTACATGTGAGAATCATCAGCCTAGAGATAGTAATTAAATCCATGGGAGTTGATGAGATCACCAAGTGAAGTAGCATAGAGGGAGAAGAGAAGAGAGCCCAGAATAGAACCCTATGGGACACCTACAATTGGAGGTCGTGATCTAGATGAGGATCCAGCAAAGGAGACCTATCCATCTGATAGGTAAGAGGGGAACCAAGAGAGAGTGTTCCAAAAACCTAAAGAGAAGAAGGCATTATCAAGGACAAGGATAACCAACAGTGTCAAAGAAAGGCTGCAGAGGGGTGGAGAATGAGGATTTTGTAAAGGTTGTTGGATTTGGCAATTAAGAGATCATTAATAACTTTGGAAAGATCGGTTTTGGTGGAATGATGTGGCAGGAAACCAGATTGTAAGGAGTTTAAAAGAGAGTGAAATGAACTCCTCATTAAAAAAAAAAAAGAGGAAGAGTCAACCTGGGGGGAACTGCCATGAGGATCCGGAAAGGGTGATATATAGAAATAATCATAATACAATGTAGAATTTTTAAAAATAATAAAAGACTTATAATCTAAGAGCTATTGGGATGCAGAATAGGGAGAAATTGTTTTTTTAATGTCGTGTGTCCCTACTCCAACACGTAGCACAGTGCCTTTTCCATTGTAAGCACTGGGAAAAAAAAGTCTTTATCGAATTGAATTTTATATCCAATTGGGGAGCAATGGAAAGCTTCATGAAGTAACTGACATTGGAGCCAGACTTTGAAGGGTAGATGGGATTTCAACAGGTAGAAATCAGAGGAAAGGGTATCTGTTATGGGCAGAAGGAAAGACATAAGACAATTTAAATAGGAAGAAAGGTTGTGTGGGGTGAAGTTGAGAGAAGGAAAAGTTTTGTGGAATGGTAAGTAGTTTGGCTAAAATATAGAGTACATATGGGCAGCTAGGTGGCATAATAGATAGAGCGCTGGGCTTGGAATCAGGAAGACTCATCTTCCTGAGTTCAAATCTGGCCTCAGATACTTACTAGCTGTATGACCCTGAGCAAGTCACTTAACCCCGTTTGCTTCAGTTTCCTCATCTGTAAAGTGAGCTGGAGAAAGACATGGCAAACCACTCCCAGTATCTTTGCCAAGAAAACCCAAAAAATGGAGTCAGAAAGAGTCAGACATGACTGAAAAATAATTGAACAACAACAAAAGAGTGTATATAGGAGAATAGTGGGACTTAAGGTTGGAGTGGTTGATTGGTATCAGTGTTAAATTCCAGACTAATGACAGTTCAGGGAAGTCCCTTCCCTGTACATTGTTGGAGATCTACTTGCCAGTGATTAGAGGCCTACTTATCCATGACTGGAAGTCTATTTGTCCATTATTAGAGGTCTATTTATTCATTATTGGAGATCTCCTTGTCCATGATTGGAGGTCTTCAAGGAGAAAGCTACATAACCTCTTACTGAGGCTTTCATTTGGATTTTCCGTTACTGAAGTCATGGTTTGATCAGGTCGCTTCTATCTCTGAGATTCTATGATTTCATCGGTAAACTGCTCCCAAATGACAATACAAAGTGGGTTACACAGATTGCACTGGAAAGGTTCTGGCAGATTGCCATTTTGGATTGGTTCTTGTTAGTTAGTTCCTGCTTTAGTGGGTGACCATTTGTGTCAAGAGTTTTAGTGAGGATGCCCACTGCTTAAATTATAGTCCTTTCTAGGTATACTACCTCCCCACCGCCCTAGGGGCTGATTTTAAGTATCAGAACCTGGATCCAAACCTAGATCTTCCAACTCCATGGACATCTAGGTGGCACAGTGGATAGAGCTCCAGGCCAAGAGTCAGGAAGACTCATCTTCCTGAGTTCAAATCTGGCTACAGACACTTCCTAGCTTTGTGACCCTGGACAAGTCACTTAATCCTGTTTGCCTCAGTTTCCTCATCTGTAAAATGAGCTGGAGAAGGAAATGGCAAACCACTTGGCATCTTGGCCAAGAAAACCCCAAATGAGGTCACAAAGAATTAGACGTGATTGAAACAACTAAAAAACAATACTTCCAACTGCTAATCTGGTACGCTTTGCATTATACTACAGTGGGCGGGAGGGGGCAGCACAGATTATGGGGGGAGTGGTGGAAATCCTTCATCAGGACAATTGGCCAAACTCTCAAAGCTATGGCCCCAAACCAGAGATGCTTGTCTCTGATTTTTCAGTCGAGATGACAGTGGAGGTAGGGATGCATGTGCAGAGATCATGACAAAGTCAACATGGTCAAGCTCAGCCCTTCTTCTTCTATCTTTTCTCCTCCAGGCGACCAAAACCCTGATGATCACTTACCTTCCCAAGGAAATTTCAGATCCTGCGATCATCATCAAACATTTTCAGTGAGTGGAAAGGAAGAGTCACTGGTATAGTACAAAGAGCGCTGGTTCTTCAATCCGAAGAGCTGAGTTCAGATCCTGCCTTTGGCGCTAACTGGGTGACTTTGGGCAAGTCACGTCCCCCTCCTTGGCCTCAGTTTCCTCATATGTAAAATGAAAGAGTTGGACTAGATGACCTCTGAGGTCACTTCCAATTCTAGATTTGTGACCCTAAATATGACTGGCAGAGAAGCTGCAGTTCTGCTGTGGGTATCCTCTACCTGTATGGTGCCTGCCCTCACAGCTGATGTTATCATTTCTTCTTGATCAGAAGTTGGACAGGAGGAGCTTATAGGTCAGGAGGCAGGGGAGACAGAGGGGCACTAGGGCTGGCAGATTAAAACCGATACTTCTCCTTTTCTTCACTGCACTAACCAAGGAACCCAAGGTTGTTCTCTTACCCACACAGAACTCTTGAAAAAGGCATTCTCCTGTGTGACCCTGGGCAAGTCCCTTAACCCCATTGCCTGGCAAAAAATAAAAAATAAAAAGCATTCTCCCTCTCCTGCTCTTCTATCCCTGAGATGTATGGCCTAGGCAAGTCAACCTGGCTGCCATAATTGAGGACATTAGTAAGGTCCACAAATGAATATTCTCACTGAGTGGTTTTCCCACTAATGTGATGGGCTATACTGCACAACAGGTGTTGTTTTGCTTGGAATGGCAAAGCAGCTACCCTGAATTAGAAGCACACTTTCTGGCCCTAGGAGAGAGCAATGCAAATTGCTCTACATAGAGGTCAAACCCATAACCTTGACTTCGTTTAGTGATATGTTCTTTCCAGCTGGATAAAGCCATAAAGGATTAGGAGAAGAAAGGAGCTGACTTCCTCCTATGCTTAGTAGCCCCAGAATAGCTTGGTTCCAAGGAACAGAGAGGCCCAACGTATGGTATAGTTGAAAAAGCATTGGTTTTATATTTAAAAGACCCAGTTTCAAATCCTGTTTCTGTTACTTACTAGCTGTGTGACCTTGGGCAAGTCACATAACCTTCTTGGACCTTAGGAGTTGGTTAGACTAGATGTCCTCTAAGCTTCCTTCCAGCTCTAAATCTATAATTTTCCGCTCTTGTAGTCCTATGAATTCAAAGGATGGCTGGGAGGAGGTGTGTATTTATTCTTGAGGATCAGTGGCCCAGATCCAGTCTCTTGGCTGGAGCCAAGGTTCAGGGTGACACAGCAAAAGCTCCATTTGCCCCTGGACACTCAGTTCTGTGTATGTATCTGTGTCTGTCCCGCAGTGAGGCCTATCCCAGCTGCACAGTGACCCAAGTCCACTTCTGCTATGATCTGAGAAGATTGATAGAACTGGATAACCAAAGGTGAGTCCATAGTTGGCAACCTCATTTCAGTGGCTTTGGGAATGCTAGGAAATATTGGGCCCATTGGAATCCAATGCCCTGCCTAACCACTGATATCCTCTTCTTTCCTCCTTGCCCCAACAGACAACACGCAATGAAAGGCCGACTACTTTATACCTCAGTTGCTCAGAAAAATGGGCCAACAATGATCCGAGTGCACCCCTGTTCTCGTATCTGCTTCTGTCAGTGCTGCACATGCTTCAAGGAGGTAGCAGGGAGGGGACTGTGCCCCACACGGCCCAAGAGCTCAGGGCGTCTGCTGAACGGGCGGGGGGAAGGGAGGCGTTGTGTCCTGGCCTCTGTCTGCTGTTCCAAGTTAGCCCCTCATCCTCACTGTGGTGGCCACATAGGACCCCACCAGCTCTGTGCTTGCTGCCCCCTTCCCTTGAACCTATAGCTAAAATACAGTTACATAGCCATCTCTGGTGTTCTGCCCCCAGGAAGTATGGCAATCCTTTCTTCAATTTCACCTCGTTGTAAAGGACAGAAAGTGTTCAGAGGATTACAAGTTAGAAGCAACTCGAGAAGCCACCTAATCTTCCAAGCTTCAGTGGCCATGGAGCTCTTTAAGAGACAATACTATTCCATCTGGGTTGGAATTGGCATTTTCCATGACCCAAACTTCCATGATTTTGGGGCTCCCTGCCTAACCCAAGTGTTTCCAAGCTTCTCATCTTCTGCCCCCAATTTGGTCCCTTTCTACACCCCCCAGGTGGATGCTGAGCAATACTACAGTGAGCTGGAGGAGAGGTTGACTGATGAGTTCAATGCCGAACGAAACCGAATCTACCAGAAGCGTTTGGATACAGCCTTTGTCACCTTTCAAGATGAGAAGATGACAGCTGTGTGAGTGCCCCAGAAAGCTTTGAATGCCACTTGGCCTCTCAGTCGATCAGTCAGTCTAGTCAGCCAGCATTTAGTGAGTCTGTAAGTGCCAGCCACCAAGCTATGCCTTCCTTCTTCAAAGAAAGGCAAAACAAAAACAAAACAAAACAAAAAAAGACCATTGTCCTGCCATAAAGGTGCTTATATTCCAACAGGAAAGGCGACGTACAAATAACTATGTATATTCAAGATGTATATGCAGAGCAGATTGAAAGTAATCTCAGAAGGAAGGCACCAGCAGTGGGTTGGCAGTGGGGGAGAGGTGGGGCTGGGAAAGGCTTCCTAGTATTTGTAGTATTTGAGCTGAGTCTTGAAGCAAGCCAGGAAAGCTAAGAGGCAAAAGAAGGTGAAAGACCATGCCAGGAATGGAAGAAAGCCAGGAAAGAGGTACAGAGTTGGGTGATAGAGTAAGCGTTCATGTGCAGGGTAGCAAGTAGACCAGTGTTTCTGGAGCATCCCCCACATGCTTTCTCCCTTCTTGCTTGCTTCCCCTCTGGTTGTTATCCATACTCCCAGCCCCTTCCCATGGGAAGTGCAATCATGCAATTCTGTGATGACTGGTCTCCAGGTTGTGGTTCTTCTCCTACTTCCCTCCCCTCTGGACAGTGTGATCACATACCCAGCCAGCATTCAAATCGCCTCTTTCCCATTCTCACTTACACTCTTAATTACAGCCAGCATGCACATGGTGCTTTAAGGTTTGCAGAGCGCTTGCCGTGTTATCTCATCTGATCCTCCCAATAAGCCTGTGTTGTAGATGCTATCATCAATCTCACTATAAAGTGAGATAAGGAAATCAAGGCTGATGAAGCATCACACAGCTAGTAAAAGCTCAGAAGTTATTGCAAGTAATTAGAAGGAAAATTTGAACTCAGGTATTTCTGATTCCAAAGATAGAACTCAATCCATCATGCCACCTAGCTGCCCACTTGTTCATTCTTTTGTTCCAAGAGCTGCATGTTCAATATGGGTTTTGTCATTTGGGGGTCTATCTCTCATTATCATGTTAAGCGTTATGCCCATCTTCCCTTCTCGTTCTGTAACTAGCAGCAATTTTCCCAGCCAAGGGAGACAAACAGATTTGTGTTAGGTTCTCTTCATAGCCAACGTCCTTTCAATAGAAGCAAACACAGAAAGAGCCCTTCAGCCACTGGACACCCCAACACACACACTCCACTACACACACGCTCCAGTATACACATACATACACATACACACACACACTCATACATACACACACTACACACATACAAACACACACACAAACACACATACACACAACACATACACTCACCACTAGGCATCTCAATTTCATATCTTTACTGTCTCTCTTCCCATTAAGTTTGTAATCACAGTGTTAGATTCAGAACTAGAAGAGACCTTAGAGGTGATCTAATACAACCTTCGTATTTTATAATCCTCACTTTCCCCTCTTTTATCTCCAGTAGAATGGTGTCTCTCACTTGGAGGCATAAGTAACCTGAAATTGTACCAGGCAGGCAGAATGGGAATAGGGAGAGGCATAAGGAGCCCTGACCGATCAATGTACTGCTGTGGTAGAGTAGAAGCCAATGAGTTTTAATACTAGCCCCACCATCAGCGTATTTGATGGTATTTCACATCTTTCTTAGGCTTTCAGTTTGCCCATCTGTCAAATAATAACTCGAGCCATACCTACCCCATAGAGCTGTTCAGAAGATCAGATGAGGTAATAAGTCTAAAAGTGCTTTAAAACAAAAGAAAACCCAGGGCAGTCAGGTGGCGCAGTGGATAGAGCATCGGCCCTGGATTCAGGGGGACCTGAGTTCAAATCCAGCTTCAGACATATAACACTAACTGTGTGACCCTGGGCAAGTCACTTAACCCCATTGCCTAGCCAAAAACAAACAAACAAAGAAAAAAAATAAACCCTACTCGAATGGTGTAGTGGCAGATGCTTTAGACTAGGAAGCAGGAGATTCAGCTCTCTGCCTCTCTCTCTAGCTTGGGAATAGATCGTCTTTAAAGTTCCTTTCAGCTTTTAAAAATTTATATTTTCTCCTAACCCAGGGAACTTTAAAGATGATCTAGTCCATACTCTTTATATGTTACAGTTAAAGAAACTGAAGCTGAGAAAGATCGCATGATTTACCCAAAATTGCAGTGCTAGAGAGAGAGGCAGACAACTGAGATTAGAACCCAGGTCTCCTGCTTCCTAGTCCAAAGTATCTACCATTATTACACAATTTGAGCAGGGTTTTCTTTTGGTACCTAACTCCCTTCATGTGAGATACCACCAGGATAGTAAGCAATAAATGATCACAGAACTTGGAGAGTTAGAAGGGACCTTAGTCCCCGAAAGGAATTCCCCCCACCCCGCCAAATCCGTAACATTTCCTACATGGCTAGCAGTCATTCAGCCCCTACTTGAAGGTCTCCAGGGACTGGAATCCTACCACTTCATAAGTTGGCTCATTCCACTTTTGGACAGCTCCAATTGTTAGGAAGTTTTCCTGAAAGCCAGCCTCAGTTTGCCTCTTTGTAACTTCCACTTATTCACAGTTCTATCCTCTAAGGCCAAATAGGACAAATCTATTTCCTCTTCAATATTAAAACCCTTCAAGTATTTGAGGGTATGTATCATATTCCCCCTTACACACACACACATCCCACTCCCACCACCAGACTTCTTTTCTCCGACTTAAACATCTCTAGTTCCTTCAACCAATCCTTATATGACATAATAGTATGGTCCTTCACCTTCCAGGTTGCCCTCTTTTGGAAATTTAGTCAACAAGCATATATTTTGTACTCATTATGTGCCAGGCACTGCCCCTGCTCTTAAGGCATTTGAATTCTAGTGAGGGGAGACAACACATAAAAGAAAACAGAAAAGTGAAGAGGGGAGAGGATAACAAAGGGACGAGGTGCAGCGGGCAGGAGTGCAGCCTGGCAGGGAATGAGACGTGGAGGGCCTGAGTACCCTCCTTAAATAGAGGTTCTGGAACAACTGGCCAATCAGAGAGAGAGGCTGCAAGCGCTGGGGGTACTTACAATGTGTGGATTCCCAAGCTGGAGTGAGGCATCTGGATGAAGAGCTGGGGAAGTAAAGGAAATCCAGAGTACAGCCTGCAGGGGAATGAGGACAGTTTCTAGCTTAACCATGCCCTTTTAAAACTATTCTGCCAGAAATGAACACAATGTTTCAGATGAGGGTTGATGAGGGCAGAGTATAGAGAGACTATTACCTGTGGGGGAGAAGGGAGGAGAGGGCAGGCTACCACACCACGATTTGCATTTATACTTCACTAAGACCCTCACATCTTTTTCCAGACATATTGTTTTCTAACCATGTTTCCCCCTTTAGCTTGTAAGGCTGGGTTTATTTTTTTGACCCCCAGGGATAAGACTTCACATTTATTCCCCAACAGCTAGGTGGTTCAGTGGATAGAGTATGGGACTTGGAGTCAGGAAATCCTAAGTTAAAAGCCAGCCTCAGACACTTACTAGCTATGTTTCTCTGGGAAAGTCACTTAATCTCTCTGTGCCTCAGTTTCCTCATCTGTAAAATAAAGTTAATAATAGCACCCACTTCCCAGGGTAGTTGTGAGGATTAAAATGAGGTGTTTGTAAAGTGCATTTGCAAACCTTGAAGCGCTATGTAAATGCTAGTCATTATTATTTATTATTATTGCCTTTATTATTGTTTTCTTGTTAAATTTGGCCTAGTAATCTTCATGATCTTCTCCGACTTGGACTCTTCCTTTGTGTTAGCTATCCTTCCTAGTTTGTCATTTGCAAATGTAATGACTATCTATGCCTTTATCCAAATCATTGATTTTAAAGAGTTAGACAGAGGCAGCTAGGTGATACAGAGGATAGAACACCAGCCTTGGAGTCAAGAGGATCTAAGCTCAAATCAGGCCTCGGACACTTACTAACTGTGCGACCCTGGGCAAGTCAAAACAGAAAACAAAATAAATAAAAAATTAGACAATAAATCCCTGGGACTGTCCACTAGAGGACCTCCTGCCACAGAGGCATTGAGCCATTAGTGACTATGGTAAATCCAGCCATCCAACCAGTTTTGCATCCATCTAATTGTATTATCATCTATTCTACATCTGACTTTTCCTTGAGAATGGCATCAGATAGTTTATCAAAAAGCCTTGCTCAAATCTAGGTAAACTAGATCTACAATATTTCCTTTATGTACTAATTTAGTATCCATGTCAAAAAAAAAAAAAGGAAAAGAGATTAGTCTGGTATGACCTATTTTTGATGAAGCTATGCTGGAGTTTTGTAGTCATTACTTACCTTTCTAGATGTTCATTAACCATCTTTTTAATAATCTACTCTGGAATTTTCCCAGGAATCAAAGTCAAACTCATCAGCCTATCATTTGTTCTCTTCCTTTTTTTTATAAATTGGGACATTTGCCTTTCTCCAATCTTCCATTTCCCATGATCTTTTCAAAATGACTCACAGTGGCTCCACTATCCCATTTGCTGATTATTTCAATACTAGAGGATGTCATTCATCCAGGCTGAGTGACTTAAATTTGTTAAGGACGACTTGGTGCTATCTCTTTATCATCTGCTTCCTTGAGTTAGCCATTTTTGTTTTGTCATTTCCAGCACAAAGATCAGTGACAGGGGGAAAAGAAGCAGAATAAGTTACCACTGTTTCCTCCTATCGCTTCTTTGTTCTCCTTTTTTTCCCCCAATAAAAGGATGATATCTTTTTGTCCTCGTTAGCTTCCCTCACCAACCTCTTTCCAAGTTTCTTCTCTTCTGATTCTATTTTTTACAAGACCATGTATCCTCTATTTGGTCTTGCTCCCGTCTTCTACATGTTTCTTTTAAAAATCTAAGCTAGTGAGTTCCCTGTGCAGCCACATTGGTCTCTTCAGACCACTTCCGTTTCTTCTTCCTTGTTTTGAACTGTTTCCTTATGTCCTGAGCATATTTCATTCTTGAACA